TTTCGAACCTTTGAGACCTAGAAACCCTCCGTATGGAATGCCAACTTCGTTTATGGCAGGGTTACATAATGCATCAACTTCGTTCCCACTCCAAGGATCTGGTTCAGGAATGAACCATTTGGGTACAAATTCCCAGAATATAGGAAACTTCACCCAGTTGCCTACCCTTACAACTAATAGTCAAGCAACGCTTAGGCAACAGATGAATGATAGCAATCATGATATGGTAGGAATCCTAGCCCGCGAAATGAATGCTATTTTTAATCCCCTAAACCAAGAAAATGCAGCCCAGATGGCCAGAATAGTAGATTTTTTTGGTGCCCCTGATGCGCCTGCGAGACGTAGGCAAAACCCAGTGGTGATTCGAAACGAAGAACCCACGATCGAACATATTCGACCCCCCATACAAGTGGTCGAAGAGAGAAATATAGGGGTAAGATTAAGGAACCAGGAAGTTTAGGAAGTTCAGAATGAACAGCCTAGACCAATAATGATGGCGAATAGGGACTAAAATGCAGACGAAATTATTCATAGAATTAGAAATGACAATTTAGTGGCAGAAAATAACCTCACCACCATGATCGAAAGAATAATGGGCCATAATGGTATAAATTCAGGATTTAGGAGGCCAAATTACACATCTCCTATTGTAGAATATGTTCTGCAAACAGAATTACCCAGGGGCTTTAAAGTCCCTAAATTCACGAAATTTGCTGGAGACACGAGTGAATCAACAGTGGAACATATAGCGAGATATTTAACCGAAGCAGGAGATATAGCAAATAATGAAAATCTTAGGATAAAATACTTCCCATGTTCTCTAACGAAGAACGCCTTTACTTGGTTCACCACCCTACCCCCTGGATCTGTGGACACATGGCCTTATTTAGAAAGACTTTTCCATGAACAATTTTACATGGGTCAGTCTAAAATTAGTCTCAAAGAATTAGCAAGCATTAAGAGAAAATTCACGGAACCAATAGATGATTATTTGAATAGGTTCCGTTTATTAAAATCTAGATGCTTCACAGTGGTCCCTGAACATGAATTGGTCGAAATGGCTGCTGGGGGCCTAGATTATTCCATTTGAAAGAAATTGGATACACAGTATCTTAGAGATATGGCCCAACTAGAAGACAGAGTTCGTCAGGTCGAAAGATTAAAAGCTGAAAAGGCTAGGGCTAGTAAAAATCATAAGAAAGAGAGAATAACCTACATAGAGGCCGAAGAGGAGAACATAGATGATTCTCAAGACCCTTATGATTTTGATCAGTTCGAAATAGATCTTGCAGAACTGAAGGAAGCACCCCCTTATGCTTGCAAAGTTCTGCTTCCTTCCAATGGAAAGGATTTTGTCGAAAGTGAAAAGAATGATAAATTCCCTAAGAAAATCTATACTTTCGATATAACTAAATGTGATGAAATATTTGATCTGCTTGTTAAATATGGCCAGTTAATAGTTCCTTATAACCTTAAGATTCCTCCGTTGGAACAAAGGAAGAGGAGGGGCTTTTGTAAATATCACAACTTTTTAGGCCATAAAACCTCACAATGTTTTCTTTTCAGGGATCTGATACAAAACGCAATCAAAGATGGCAGGCTGAAGTTCTCATACAAAGGGAAGAATCCAATGAAAGTTGATACGGATCCGGTTCTGATGGCGGAGACTAACTATGCTGAACCTCTGGACATCAATGTAGTAGAAATTGTTGAGAGGAAAGTTGAATCGAAAGTGGAATTCGAAGAGGATAGGGACTTCATCTTGATCAAGAACGAAAGAGAGGCTACTGATGGCCTCCCAAAGGTGCTCAAAGCAAAGATACTAAGTGACAAAAAATTAACTAAGGCCACTGAGGGTCTCAGGATGAAGTTTGAAGAAGTCAAAATTTCTGATGGTCAAATGCTGCGAGTAAATATGGTGGACTTAGAACAGCCCAACGCTGAAATGGAAGAAGTGGAAAGCTGTTTGGAGAGGGAGAGAGATCAAAGAAGAGAGAACTTACCTAGAAAAGATGCGAGTTTGCGCGAATACCTCTTCCACTGTCATAAGAAAAACCAGGATAAGTTGTTGTGCCCAAGGTGCATCATCATCTGCAACCCCAGAATTGCTGCTGAGTTCGAAAGGGCCCAGCACGAACGAATAGGGGTCAACTGGAGGCAAGACAACCAACTGTACAGAGCCTATCCAAAAGCTGATGAAATTCTGCTCGAATTCTTGGTTCGTTGCCACAAGATTGGAACAGAGTGTTTAATATGTCCCAGATATGCAACGGTGTATGATAAAGAAATGACTGAAGCATTCGAGAGAATTCCATTTGCATCAGGTTGGAGGCACCAAGGCAGAATGCCTTCGAATCCTGTTAACACTGGCAGAAATATGCCAAGGAGGCCAGATAGCCCTTACCCCAGGGGAGCAAAGAAAGTTTCCTTTAAACTACCTGCAGAAATCCCCATTGACAGATGGCTGCAGGTGAAGGCTGATAAGGGAAAAGGGAAGTGGCGCAACTATGGCCAAGGAGGCAGGACTGCGATGGCTTACAGGAAGCAATTCAATTCAAATAGGAGGGAAGAAATAAGACTGGAGAATTACAAAGGCAAAAATCCAATGTCTTGCTCTCAGTGGCGCAGACACCAGAGAAATAAAAAAGCAGAAAGGGATTCGAAGCCTATGGGGATAGGAGAATCTAGTACCAATAACCCAACATCAGTGAACCAGACTGGGGGCAAACCCCCAGTGTCCAGGAAACTTTTTTCACCAAAGAAAGACACTGAAGAAAATAAGACTCAGAAGGAGGCTGCAAACGAAGAGGACTTGATGACTGATGACTTCGAATCGGAGGGGGAATCCTTCTTTAATGCAAACTGTAATGTAGTTTCGGTGCTGCCTTGTGAGTACAATCAGGATACAGAGGTTTATGCTGGTGAGGAGACTGACGAGGACGAAATGGCCAGACATAGGCCAGTGTGTTATTATGTGATGAACAATGGAGCGGTCGAAGAGCAAAATGCTTTCTTCGAAAAGCCAGACGAAGGAATGAAGAACCATCTAAAACCCTTATTCATCAGGGCAAAGGTGGAGCAATATGGTGTGAACAAGGTTCTGGTGGATGGTGGAGCTATTGTTAATTTGATACCTCGATTCATGCTAAAAAGGATAGGCATGCAGGATTCAGATGTTAGACCTCACAACATGGTGCTTTCGAATTATGAAGGAAAGGTTGGTAAGACTTTGGGAGTAATACAAGTTAACTTGACAGTTGGTTCCCTCACAAGACCAACAATGTTTATGGTCATTGCTGTGAAGGCAAACTACAATCTGTTGCTTGGCAGGGAATGGATCCATGGAATTGGCGCAATGCCTTCTTTGATGCATCAAAGGTTGGTGTTTTGGAGAGACGATGGAATTGTCGAAAACATAGAAGCAGACCAAAGTTACTATATGACAGAAATCAACAACATGGACAAAAGAAACTTCGATCGAAATATGGCCAACATAGGGCCATGTCACCCGCCTGAGGAATATTTCGAGCCCAATGAGAACGCTTACTATTCTTTAACCCTTCGTCCCAATGGATTCCAATGGGATAGGGAAATCATGTGGGACGGGCAGGAGATTGAAGAAGATGAAGTGCTTTTATAGCTTTCCTCAATGGTTTAAAGGTTTTTGACCTTTGAAAAAAGGTGGGATACGTGTAACTCCCTCATTAGAAAGAGAAAAGGTGGATTTTTTGAACTTCCTAGGGAAGTGACGTTTTGTTGCTAATTATTAGCTATAACTGCTGTGATTGCACGTTTAGGTATGATGATTGGACGTTTTGCAGAAAGTTGGACACTTACTCTGCCATCGTGTGCAGTATTGTCATCATGAGTTTTGATACTCTCGAAATTGCATGGATAATTCAAAAACAAGTATTTCTTTATATTTATCGAAATACATGTTCTTGAGGGGCAATTTGTTAGCTGGCAATTTCGAATAAAGAATAATTGGATATCAAAACAATATTTCGAATAAGCATATAAGGAGGTTGATATCAATGATGAATATTGGTGGGAAATATAGAACCATTGTTCTAAAGGACTCTTCGATTTCCAGTGATAGATGATGGATTTTGATTTGGGATTTTTAGTGTTTAAAATATAAAGAGTTCCTTTGTGCAAATGTGCCAGAATTGGAAGCGGTCCAGGAAAATGGTTAAGTCGAATCGAAGAAAACTAGCAAAATACTTCGCTGGCACAGGGTTCGAATTTCAAATAAGAGCGCCATTCTTAGAAGACGCGTGGAAGTCAGTAAACGTAAGAAGCATGCATGCTTCAAACGTGGCATGATTTTAGAGTAGGACCGTTAGGGTCAGGATACTATAAATAGGTGTTTTTATGTTAGAATTGGGGTGTTCATTTCGTGTACTAAAGAATCTCAAACACTCAAATTACCGTGACTTAAGGGAAACGAGTTAGAAGATAAAATGTACGTATTGAAAATCATGATTCTTTATAATTTCAATACAAGTCTTTTTATATTTCTTTCACTTTTACAGTACTTTTGCTCTTAAATCTTTCGATTTCCTTTTATTTCCTTGTTTTACTTGCTTTCAAACACATTTATCTCTTTAGAAACTTCACTTTTACTTTATCCTTTTGTTCAAACACTTCATATTTCCAGAAACTGTTATATTCTCAGAAACTCTTTATCTTTACATTCAAGTATTAAATCTTAAGTCTAATTCGAAGCCTTTCCTTTGTACATTCAGTCAGTTAATTTCTATAGACAATCTTAGAGATATTTCTTAAGAATCTCACATTCGACATTAACATACAGTATAAATTTATCAAGATAATGAGTATGAACATAGAAATGAGTTATGACACATGTGTCCTAGGATCAATCTAGTCGATCCTGCAAGTAACCAATAATAATCAATAAATTGGAAGACTAGCGGTTGTTTACTAGAAATCACTGTAAACAGGTGTATGTGTCAATTTCTCTACCACAACGCACTAAGATGGGTTCTCAAAGGAGGATGAGAATATATGTTGGATATGAATCTCCATCTACTATAAAATACCTTGAACCAACAATAAGAGATTTATTCACTACTCGCTTTGATGATTGTCATTTTGATGAATCAAATTTTCCAGCATTAGGGGGAGAGAATAAGAAGCTGGAAAAAGAGACCGGTTGGAATGAATTATCATTATCTCATATTGATCCTGGAACGAAACAATGTGAACTAGAAGTTCAAAAGATAATTCAATTGCAAATCTTATCAAATCAACTACCAAATGCATTCACTGATCTAAAAGGCGTGACTAAATGATATATACCAGCTGCAAATGCTCCAATAAAAATGGATATCCCTGTTGGACGATATAATGAGTCTTAACCACGCCTGAAGCGTGGCAGGCCAATCAGTTCCAAAGATAAAAATCCTCGAACAAGAAAGGGAGATAAGAATAAAGATGGCCCAAGTGAGGATATAGAAAATATAAAAGAATCTTCAGACATAATAAACATTTCATCTCAAGAAGAGATTGATCATGTACCTGAAATTCATGAAAATAAAGAGATCTCGATAAATCATGTCCAAAATGGAATACAATGGAATCGACACGAAGTCGAGATTAATGATATTTTTTCGTAAAATATAGCGCTAAATGTGATAAATGACAAAGAGGATCATGAACCAATGTCTATTAAAAATTATGACAAAGTGAGGACTGGTCAAAATGGAAAGATGCAATTGAAGCAAAATTAAACTCACTCTACAAAAGACAAGTTTTGGGACCTGTAGTCCGAACACCTCAAGGTGTGAAGCCAATTGGTTACAAATTGGTTTTCGTGCGAAAGCGAAATGAAAATAATGAAATTGTGAGATACAAAGCTCGTCTTTTCACTCAAGAATTTTCACAAAGACCTCAAATTGAATTTTATGAGACATACTCACCTTTAATGGGTGCAAGAACTTTTCAATATTTAATAAGCGTTGTAGCACGTGAAGGGCTTAATTTGCACACGATGGATGTTGTAACAACTTATCTGTATGGTTCACTTGATAGTGAAATTTACATGAAACTCCATGAAGGGTTCAATGTATAAAATGCACATAGTTTTGAACCTCTAGAAAACTACACCATAAAATTGAACAAATCTCTCTATGGGCTGAAACAATTTGAACACATGTGGTATAACCGTCTGAGTGAATATTTGCTTAGAGAGGGATATACAAATAACTCTATTTGTCCTTGTATTTTAATAAAAAGATCAGGAAAGGAATTTTCAGTAATAGTTGTCTATGTTGATGATATAAATATTATTGGAACTCCTGAAGAGCTTCCAAAAGCTATGAATTGCTTAAAGAAAGAGTTTGAGATGAAGGACCTAGGAAAGACAAAATTATGACTAGGTTTACAAATTGAGTATTTGTACAAAGGGATATTTGTACATCAAGAAGGACATATAGAAAAGGTGTTAAAACGTTTCTATATGGACAAATGTCGCCCATTGTCTACTCCAATGGTTGTTAGATCATTAGATGTAGAGAAAGATCCTTTCAGGCCTCAAGAAAAGGATGAAGAATTGATTGGTCTTGAAGTACCATATCTCAGTTTGATTTGAGCATTGATGTACCTTGCTAACTATACATGTCCTAATATATCATTTGTAGTCAATCTATTAGCAAGATATGGTTCTTCACCTACACGAAGATATTGGAGCAAAGTCAAACATATACTTCGTTATCTTAGAGGTACAATAGACATGAGTCTGTTTTATACCAAAGCATCTAAACTCGAATTAACAGGTTATGCAGATGTTTGTTACTTGTCATATCCTCACAATGGTAGACCACAAATAGGTATTTGTTTATATGTGGTGGTACAATTATTTCATGGAGATCGGTGAAACAAACAATAGCAACAACTTCATCTAATCATGTAGAACTTTTAGCACTACATGAGACAAGTCGAGAATGCGTTTGGTTGAGATCCTTAATCCAACACATATAAAATTCTTGTAGTTTGTCTTTAGGAAAAATAAATACAATGATCATGTATGAAGATAATATTGCATGCATCACTCAATTGAAAGATGGTTACATTAAAGCAGACCAAACAAAACGTATCTCTCCAAAGTTCTTTTTCACTCACAATTTTCAGAAGAACGGCGATATAAACATCCAACAAATTTTTTCATGCGAAAATCTTGCAGACCTTTTCACAAAGTCACTCCCAAGTAGAACTTTTAATCAACTAGTACAAAATATTGTGTTAGAACATAGTTTGATTCTACAACCCTCAATTAGAGTTTTGATGATAACAAAATACAAGATTAAATTAATTGTAAGATTTATATAAGACACATATGCTACTTAAAATTATGTTGTGTATTTACAGGAAACTATGATGGAATCAGCATCAGAAGATATGTCAACATCAACATCAGAAGATCAAACATGTGCGAAGCTGAAGTCTGGTGAAAAAAATCTACGCAAAACATACTCTGACTCTGATCAAGATCCTAACCATGTCATCAGCACTCAAAAGCATCAGAATAAGCTAAAGCCAAGAACACTCTGATTTTCATTAAGCAGAACATTCTGAAGTGTCAATGTTACTATGCATTCAAGACAGATTAATTACCAACGGCTTTATTCCAAGACAAAGATCTTCTCAAAATGGAAAGAACGTTATGAGCATTGAAATGGATTTATGGACAACAACGTATCTATTCCAAGGCTATATAAACAAATCTGTGAGAAAAGAAATGGCTAATAATTCTTTCATACGCACATACGCATAAGCCAATCATCTTCACATTCTCACTCATCCAGTTTTCTAAAGTTCTCAAGCGCTTACTCTATAGCTCTAGCAATCTAGTATTATCCAAGCTTAATATTGTGTATTATCACAGTTGTGATATATAGTTTTTCCTAGAAAACATTAAACACATTTGTTCATTTATCTGTAAAAGAAATTCCTTGAGATAAACCAGTTTGTGGTTAGACTCAAGAAGGCTTTGACAGTTGTTAAAGCAATTGTTGTATTCAGTTGAATATAGTGTGTGATCGGTGGATCTGGAACTGACTGTTTTTTAGCTGGTTTCGCGGAATGTCGCGGTAAGCAAGAGTCGCCACCGTCTTTTATTTTCTCCAAACAAGGGAAAGGACAAAAGCACAGAAAGATTCCTTTTTTGAGATTGTTTCTCGGTTCGGGAGGTAGATTTATAGAAAGGGAAGGTGTTAGCACCCTTTCTATCCATGGTTATCCATGGGCTCTTAGATACTTGCTCATTTGTGTTTTCAAAATGTTTGTTTGCTTTTCAAAGTGAGTGGGTTTGAAAAAGTTTCGTTTAAAATTTCAGATCGACTCTTGTATCAGTCCTCAAGATTGTTTGAAAAGTTGTTTTTGAAAGCTTTTTGAAAAGTGTCGGTGCGAAAAAAAGTTTTGATTTGTTTTGAATTAGAGCAAGTATCTACGAGTCATCTACCTACCCTAAGGAATTAGTCTGTGTAAATGTCCTTGAGGTAGTGCCATCCCATCATTGAGAGGTAGGTAGCACCACCGTTGGAGGTGTTCGGGTCAATTCGATTGTAGGGACAGTGTGGTCACCGAGCAATAGTAAGATACCTTAGGAGCTACCCTTATGCCATTGATCTTTTTATTCCGAGGCAACCGTTTCGAGGCAACTTGTTCGAGGCAACTAGATCAATGGAACATAAGGACTCACTAAGACGTCCTATATTCGACGATCACGTTTCGAGGGGCAAGGCAACAGTGTGATCACCAGAGCAACAATAGGACACCTTAGAAGCTACCCTTATGCCATGTTCATGGACATAAGGACTTACTAAGACGTCCTGTACTCGACGACCACGTTTCGAGGGGCAAGGCAACAGTGAGGCGTACCCTAGGAGTGGTGTGTGAATTGTGAGTCATTTTCAGTTATTATTTGTCTTGTCATGCATTGGTGATCTACGTTTTGATTTTATTTTTGGGTATTCATTCTTTCATGTGATTGTTTAACAGTTAAAAGATGCGGGAATTTAAAGTGCGGAAAAGGTAAAGGTCCTACGCTTTTACAAAGGCGCGGGTCTACATCGCCAAATAAATCCAAGACCCAATTTAAAATAAAGTGCAAAAAGCAAATGCCTAATTAACTATTACAGGGCTTTGGGGCAAATACATTACATTCATAAAAAAGAAATAAAATGAAATGCGCGAAAAGAAAATATAATCGAACGCGAGGGCGTTGGACCCTTTAAAGAAATTAAAATGAATTTATTAATTAATTAAGTTAAATAAGGGAAATGACTTATTTTTTATGTTTTTTGTATTTATGACGTTAAAGAAAATTAAATTGGAATTTAAAAGTTAAATAATTCTAGTTCTAATTGTTTTTAATTTATTAAAAAAAATGCATTAAAGTTAAAACCTAAAATTAAAACTAAATTGATTATAAAATTTATTTACAAAATTAATGGTTAATGATAATAAAAATATTTAATTAAAAAAGGATAAAGAAGTGCTAAAGGTCTATTTTTTATATTTTTGGTTATTTAAAAAAAAAGAATTAAAGTTAACAACCTAAAATTAAAAACTAAATTAATTATTTTATTTACAAAAAAATGTTGGTGAATTAAATTAAAATAAAACATATTTTTATTTTTTCTGATTTTTCTGATTTTTTTGTTTTTTTATGAAAATTGTTTTGATTAATTAATTAGAAATAAAACAAAAATAAAAAAAATGGAAAGAAAAGGAAATTAAAGGCAAACTGTGGGGGGTGTAGACCCCAAATGAGGAGGTGAATTGATGAACTATGGCCCAACAGGAGGAGGCCCTTTGCTGACTTTTTGGATCACCTATGGAGCGTTGACTGGAGCATTCCCTGGACTCTTGGTTCTTGGCCACTGGATGAATCATCAGGGACACATGGCAAGCAGAGGCGTTGGGCTTCAGGGTGGTCCTTAGGATGGAAACTGCATGGGAACAAAGTGGACAAAATAATAGAAGCAAAGTGAGGGGACCTGGGATTCGAACCCAGGTCCCAGTGTTTACCAACCAATGCCTTAACCAACTGATCCACCAACGCGCTTTGTATATAATATAAGAAACAAATAATATAAAATAAAATGGACGTTAGTGTTATAAAATAAAAAAAAAGGCGCTGGATTCAAACCAGCCACTCACGCCGTGCCACGCTAGCCTTCGTCCCCAATGTACCTGTAATGAAAATGAAATAGCGGGGGTTTTAAACCCCCCCAAAACGCAAGCTTTTGGAAAATAGCGAATAGGCCATTTTCACTCATAAATTGAGCGC